GAGAGAGAGAGGGAGAGAGAGAGAGAGAGAGAGAGAGAGAGAGAGAGAGAGAGCCATTATGCATTTATCTATGTTCAATTTTCTACGAAATAAACGTGATTATAGATGGAGCTCTTCCGAATATCCAAGTTACGATCGAATCGGAAATTTCCTGTTTGAAAGTTTTCCTCAGATCGAGATTCTGATCGAAACTGTCGGACGCGAATACTTTCAACTCGAACTGATTGAAACTTACAGGCCGATAATTGGATCGTAGCCATCGCTAGCGAGACGTATATCCGAATGGATGCAATCGTGTTGCTTTGTCAGGTTGACTGTAGGGTCGCCGCTAAGGACTGAATCGACGGTAAACGGCATGCAACTCTCTCCGGATCTCTTTTGCAGATACTGTTTCTGTTAAAGAGTTTAGAATAGAAATCTCAGCCGCAGAAGATCACGGATGCACTTGCCGGAAAATAACTTGAAAATTTCAGCTTTAATCAGCTACGTAAAAACCTTACGACGCACAGTGCATCGTTTAAGCACATTCCATCAAAATTTAATTCCCCAGAGACCAACAGAGCTATATTTTATCCCTTTTTTATTTCCACTTCCGATGTTATCGCGTCGCGCGACTGGTCTTCTGTGTAGATTTATGGACACTATTTTTTAAGAAGAAAACGCCTTATAACCAGCTGCACACTATTTTTAGACTCGAGCAAGAAGGTGACTTGTCCATTTGTCATTGCGAAAATTGTAACAAAACAATGATTTCAAGAATATTTGCCATGTCAAATTTTTTCTATACCTATTTCTTGATATCATATATGTATATGAATGATTTGAAGAAATTCTATGTTTGTGTTCCTTTGTTTCTTTATTATACTTGAACGACTATAGCTAACGTAACAAAAAATCAAATATTAATAAGCTTTAATAATGCTGTAAACGTTATCATTTTTTCTTGTAAAATGGTAATTGTTCTTATCATTTAAGAATTCATAAAATTTATACTTTTTAAAAAGATAAAAAGCGCTTGACACACAACTTTACTAATAATATTTTTTTTAATATACCTAAAAGTCTAATATAGTTATAATAACTTAGAGATGCAGGAGTATTTTAATATACAAAAATAAATATGGGAACATTTAAAAAGAAAATAATTTTGTAGAGGTATTAATGTAAGACACGTGTAAGTATATTATTTAAATCTACTTTTCCTAGAAGAATTAATAAAGAAGTTATTAAAAAGTAGATAATTAAAAAGTTACTGTAACTGAAACCTTAAAAAATAACCTTTTTTAAAAAAATTGTAGTAACTAAAATAAAACTTACATACTATATGTAATTCTTTTATTACCCTATTGCGATATTAAAAATATTATATCCAATATACTATAAAATGCTTCTGTATTATACATAAATATAGAGTCGAAGTTTCTTAAGAAAAATATGTGATATTCTATGTTATCTCTCAAAAATTCTTGAAGATAAGATATACAATAAGATACATTTAAACAATGCAAAAAATATATAATATACATACAGGGTGGCTTTAATTGTTTCGGCCAAACTGTAAGAACTTGTAATATTTAATTCCACATTTAAATAACATAAGATGACTTTTGTAGCTTAAATGTAAAAATCAATACTATACGTATATAATATCGTGAGTGATTTTTTGTAATATTTACAATTTTTTTGTAATATTCACACATCTGTAAACGTGTGTGATCAATGTTATATTAACATTGATAACTAATGTGTTCATTAGTGCGATTTTTTGTGTTATTAGAACATCTGTAAATATGAAGAACACAGTAACCAGTCAATTTACTACTGTGTATAGCGTTGATCTAGCTATTTATTATTTCCAAATGTTTTCGCGTTCTGCCTGAATAAAACTTTAAATTTTCTACAATTATCGACATTTAACAATAGCCAATTGCAAGCTCCTCTATCATCATTCATGATCAAAAATTTTAATAGTACTTGTTTTCAACAACGGTAACATTCAAATAAAATTCAATTTTTGTGTTGTATGGTAATACTTCTATTCATAGAGCACACAAAGGAAAAATAAAAACACTTTTGGAGTATAACAGAAACCGATAGCTAACGGTTAAACCTGTTGCGAACTCAATCTGTTCAAGTGCTATTAGGATATCGTAATTGTACTTTCAAGTCGCAGTTTCGCAAAGATACATGGTCTATCTTTGTGAAACGACAAGATTACAAATAAACTTGGTGCAAAACATGTTTGATTAGCGAAGATTGTATTCAAAATAGGTAAATATAATATTTGAAACGAATATGGGTCAGCGTACAAATGGTTTCACTGATCGATATCGAAATAACATCTGAATGTATCGTGTACAAATTCGAAAACTGAGATTTTGTATAACGACACTTATTTACACAAGCGAAATATGCTCCGTATAAAAAGGAGACAAATTCATAAAATTTAAAATAAAATAGCACGAAAAATTTTCAAAAATGTTTTGCAAAACTTTCATAACTTTTGTCTTATTTAGTGCATCTACCAGAAAAATAAAACTTTTTTCACTTTACTTTACTATGAACGCCACTCGTATTTTACGTTTTTAACAGTAGAGCGTGCGTGGAATTTTACATTTTTGAATGCACATTTCATGCGTTGCGAATGCTCAGAATACCTTTCTCATATTTTTATATGTATATATATTTATGTGTATTTTGCAAATAAACTATCATAGTCTTCTTATTGGCATTTTGGAATACCATGAAATTCAAACAATATTCGCTTCTCTCATAGCAATTCTGTCGCAAATACTTTAGAAAAACATACCAATGTCCAACTCGTATTTTGTTTATATCCTAATACTTGTTACAGTACGATTTTCTTATTTAAATAAATTGCAAAGATTTTGAAACACGAATAATTGCCGTAACTAATGCACGAGACCTTTCATCAAAAAGAAATTGGCGTTTCCAAAGTTTGGAGAATTAAAATGTTATCGGTAGCGCGTGATTGATATTGGTATAAAAGCAAATCTCTTTATAAATTTTACTGCAAATGATTGAGTGGCAAGTATGCTATCATGTTTTGTTTACAAATGTTATATCGAATTCATAAAACATAATATGACGAACACACGCGTGCAGCCAGATTCCACTTTTAATGCTCGTATCGATATGCAGCAGTATATCTGCGCATACTAGGACGTAATTTAAATGCATTAATCCTTTGAGTGGCGAACTATGATATATCGTCATATCATGCGTGCGCCTGGAGTGCCAACGTCGATTTATCGTCGTTGCTGCAACATTCGAGAGATAAACAAGATAGGTATACTTGAATTTTAAACGAGATTTTGTTAACCTCCCATTAAATGCGAATAACTATTAACTCTTACGAGCCACTGGCCTGCAATTATTTATAACTATTGACAATTATGTTAATATTCAGATAAAGGTGTACTTGAATTTTAAACGAGATTTTGTTAAGCTTTCATTAAATGCGAATAACTATTAACTCTTATGAGTCACAGGCCTGCAATTATTTATAGCCATTGACAAGTATATTAATGTTCAGATAAATAAGATGTATAACATCGAGATATCTGTAACATAATATGTGGCTCTTTTTACACTTTCAGTGATATCAACAGCAATTATTATATAACCGCATTAATGGAAACTATCTTGTATGAAATTGTAAGATAATAGGAATAAACCTGTTTCGTTTCCACACACACATATCACATGAATAAAATAGCTCCGTTTGAAGAAAAGGAATGCCCCTACCCCTATAAATATCAAATCACCCTAAAGCTGCACACGACAGGCAGAAATACGTAATACGTACGGCCGTACGTAAGCGAAAAAAACTACATCTATACAAATGGTTTAACTTTATCATATACCTATGTGTGACGATTTTACAAAAAATTTTAAAAAGATTAAATTTGTACCTGAAGGGATTAAATGGATCATAAAATTCGATATTTACAATGTCCGCTGAAAAGACTACCGCCCAGAATCGCAATTCTGGTGCCCTGAATCTTTACCGCTCATTTCTCTAATGCTACTTCAATATCATATGCAGTTTTTTTCGGTTAGTAAAGCAGTATAAACTTTATAAGATTTCTCTTTTATATATAAATAACAAGGATATACAATAAAAATAGAGAGGTAGTTTTCCGTATATTTAACCTAGCTATTTTAAACCCAGCTTTTTGAAAACCTACACTAAAATACACTTAAAAAACCCCCTTTATCTTTAAATTTAAACGAAGCCAATAAATGACAAATCAATGCAATATTAACAATTAATTTCGTCTTGTTTTACTTTATCGTTGTTATTACTACAATAATTCACGCGTGATCACTGATCTATAAAAAATCGTAATCCAATATTTAAACTGAAAGAAGCGTGATATTTGCAGAACAAACTTTCGATAGAACACGCGAATGTCAAGTGGATAAAACAAAAGGAAGCAGTCAATACGAGAATAACGCTCGGAGCTGCCTCTACTTTACGCAGCGCCGGAATCCGCCCGGCTTTGACGACGGGGACGGGGCCGGGGCTGGGGCCGGGGCGTGCGCAAACAACCCGCGGAAAAACATACCCTACCGAAGGGGAATCCGGAAGGTGGTTACTCACCGGTGCGCACCAGCACGTTGACCAGGATGTACAGGACGAGGGTGGTGACCCGGTATCCATGTATTATGATCATCAGCCACTTGGATGCGTTGAATCCCGCCGCGTGCCATAGACCCGTGCCCTCGTGCACCATATTTCCCCGTTCGAGCCTGCCTCAAGGCCGTCGTCGCCCCCCGTGTGCGTTCCTCGCGCCCTCATTCACCGGCACTCTGCGACGTAAGCACCAAACGATATAACAAGGGTGTCATACGGCGATACAGCTCTCGCGTCTCGGTCCGCGTCTACGTGAACGAGCGATTCGAGTCTTCGTGCCGCGACGCGAACCGAGACGTCGTCGAGAGCTCGTTTCCCAAGAGAAACGGTAGGATATTAGTCACGCCGCTGAGGTACTCGGAAATTCCTGACGCGACTTTTACCGTTGCCCTCTTGTCGCAGCTACAATTACGCCAATATATAGCGTCAATTCTATCCGATCCGTGCCGCAGTATAAGTTTCAAGTTAGTTCTAACGGCGAACATTTTATTGGGGAAAGATGAAAGGGACATTTGGATTTATTTTAGGGGCGAGTTTCGAATTTGTTTCTTAGACTTATTCTTGTCAAAAGATATTGGAATCTTAAATTCATAATTGTTAAGGCCCTCCTTC